TATACCATGGAACATCATGCAGCAGTAAAAAAGAAGGATCTCTTACCCTTTGAGACAGCATGGAGGGACCTGGAGATTATTATGCTAAGTGAAATAAACCAGTCAGAGGAAGACAAACATCATATGATCTCACTTATATTTGGAATGTAATGAACAAAATAAACTGACAAACAAAATAAAAACAGAAGCATGGTTACGTGGAACAACTAACAGCTGCAAGAGGGGAGGGAGGGGACGGGACTGGATGAAAGGAGGTGAAGGGATTAGTCCAGAAACATATATACATAACACATAGACACAGAAAACAGTGGGGAAGGGTGTTTGGGATAGGTGGAGGTGGGCAAAAGGAGGGGTGTAATGGAAATAGAGACTTTGCTTTGTGTGATGGGCGCACTATGCAGTGTGCAGATGTTTTGTTGAGTTGTATACTTGAAACTGTTATAGCATTATCATAAGTTAGGAAAATTCCAGGACAAGCAGAATAGGAAAACTAAGGTAGTTAAACCACAGTTTGAGTCGAAGTAGCCCAGCCTAGGCTCTCCTGTTGTTTCTTCTATGCCCATCTTTGTTTCACCGGCCTAAGTATATTTATGCTGTGGTCAATAAATTCTTGCTTGTTTTTCTACCCTGTGTCTCTTCATTGAAATCTTTCCTTCAAGAAGACAAGAACTGAGCGTTAGGTCAGTGCCAAGAGATGAGAATTTAAGAAATTTTATTACATTCTCTCACAGTGGGCTGGGACCAGTATGATCTAGTAGGGAGAGCAGGCTATTTATATCTCCTGTGCAGGTCAGGGCAACACGTGGCACTAGGTGCAGGCTAGAGGCTGGGTGTAGGCGGTTTACTAGAAGCTAGAAGCCTTAGTCATATCTTACAAAACCTGAATGAGAATAATAGGAAAACTGCAGGGAAGGCAAGAGCCCCAAGCAGGGCCAAATGGAAAAGTACTGAGCACAGGAGAAAGGTAGAGAATATGCCTGACACTGAGGTCTCCTCCTATCTCCAGTAGCAAAACCTGTATCGTTTTGCGAACCAATGTCACCCCAATAAATTCAATTAAGTACTAGTAAAAAGGTAAAAAAAAAAGGTAAATGGGACATGGAGATGATTGTATAAGGCATTAGGGTGAAGGTGAGAATATTATTATTTTCCTGAAAGAAATAAGAAGCCATTAGAGGAGTTTGAGCAGAGTGACTAGATATTACTTCTACATTATAAGGATCATTTTAGGTTCAGTTTTTCAAAGAGTGTGTAGGGGCCAGGGCTGAAGCAGGAAGACCTTTAGGAGGTTGCTGCCATAGGCCAGCCAAGATGACTGTGGCTTAGATGGGAATGGTAGCAAAGAGGTGGTAGGGAGTGATCAGATTCCAGATATGCTTTAAAGAGAGTTGACAGGGGCAGTGTGGTGATTGTGGATGGGGGAAGGGAGCGTAGGAGGGTGGAGGAGTGGAGGGGGAAAGGTGGGTAGAGGATGGTATAGGGCAGTGGTCAACAAACTCATTAGTCAACAGAGCCAAATATCAACAGTACAACGATTGAAATTTCTTTTGAGAGCCAAATTTTTTAAACTTAAACTATATAGGTAGGTACATTGTTATTAACTTAATTAGGGTACTCCTAAGGCTTAGGAAGAGCCACACTCAAGGGGACAAAGAGCCACATGTGGCTCATGAGCCGCAGTTTGCCGACCATGGGTCTAGGGGGATAAATGGTGATGGGGAAAAAAAGAGTTGATAGACTAGCTTTCAGAGGTGAGAAGAGAAGAACAATGACTTCAGAGTGTTCTGGCTTGAGCAGCTGGATGATCAAGTTGTGATTCACCAAAATGGGGAGGATTGAAGTGGGGGCAGATCAAAAAATGCTAGGAACTTTGTTTTTGTCTCAAACTTGAGTTGCCGCTTGGGCACCCAGCTTAAGGTGTTGAATACAACCCTTGGGAGTGGCTCTTAAAGGAATCAGATTAGATGTGTCAAGGTTGAAGAAAGTTGCTTCCTACTTAGCCAAGAGGGTGGGCTGATCACTTTATTGCCCAGGGATTGTCCGTAGTTCAGTTACCATGGAATTCTGCGTGTGTTTGGGTCAAGCATGTCAAACTCGCAGCCCATGGGCTACATGTGGCCCACAATGAATATTTTTGCAGCCCAGCCAATGTAACCGTATATAAGAAACGTTTTAATGTAAATTTTGTAACTTAATATTTACAATATCCTGTTATATATAATTATTAATAATTAACTACAATGTTTGCTAATGACTAATTACTATAATCATTTGTGTTGCATTCATTTCTCTTACACGCCTTACACGAAGGCGCACCATTTCTCTCCACTAGTCCTGTTGCAGAAGACTGGAGAAAAAAGCCAAGTCACGCTTAGAGAAAGGGAGTTACATTTTATTATTAAATTCTGTGCAGGCCCAGAGAAAAATGTGCCTTTCAAATTCTGGGCCCCCCCCAACATGGAGGAAACTCTCTTTATTTATACTTTTTTCAGTCCTTTGTCTCCCAAATTTGGAATGAGACTTCTGGGCCTTCTGAGAAAGAAGGCCTGCATGCTGGGATGGGGCCATGAGACCATATCTCAAGGCCTGGCCTGATGTCAGTACCTTCCTATAAAATGTTCTATTATTTTATGTTAACGATTACTCATTTATTTCAGCCCTTTGTATTCAGCATGTCTCTATCGAAATAAACCTACATTTCTATGAAAATTGAAGCTTTTGTTTTTTTGCGGCCCACAAAAACATAAACCTTGTTTATTTGGCCTGTGTTAGCCTTTGAGTTTGGCATGCTTGGTTTGGGTGTTGAGGTAGGGTTGCCTTATTTAGCAGATACAAATATAAGATATCTAGTTAAAATAAAATAATAATATATATATTTTTATTGATTTCAGAGAAGAAGAGAGAGGGAGAGATAGAAATATCAATGATGAGAGAGAATCATCAATTGGCTGCCTCCTGCAAGCTCCACACCGAGGATTGAGCCGGCAACTGGGGCATATGCCCTGACCGGGAATCAACCGTGACCTCCTGGTTCATATGTCAAAGCCCAACCACTGAGCCACACTGGCTGGGACTAGTTAAATTTGACAGGGACATGTCTCAACCCTTACCTTGTATATGTTTGCACATCAAACTCTGAACAGTGCTTGCCATTCAAATGCTACTGTGGACGTAAAAAGGGGTTCTATGGAAAGTAACCTCACAGGGTGATCTGACCATAAATTCCTAACTGGGCTGGTCATGGTGGGTAGTCATGGCCCAGGCATGTAACTGCTTTAGAGAATGGCTTATCTTGGCCTTAAACTAGTCCTGTCCATTGCTTCGGTGCATGGACCTTCAAAGGTTAACACACCTTTGAAATAACCACCCTCAAGAGAGCACATAATCTTAATAACTATCCTGTAATTTAATCCCCACCTTGCTTTCTGCTACCTTCATGCGATCTTCCTTTCTTTCCCTCCTTAGTTTCAAATGCATAAAAGAAACTGCAAAACCTGTTATTTTGCAGAGCATTTGAGATTTTTGCTCCCTGGCATATGTCATCAGTTGGCTCAAATAATTTTAGTATTTGTGCTGCCAAAGCAAGCACTCAAGTAAACTCAAGTAAACTCTTACAAAACTTCTTTACAGATTTGGATGTTTCTTATGTAGACACTGTCCTCAATATAGAATTACCTTGAAGATAACTGGGTTCAAGAGGGAATGATCCAGAATAAATGGGGAGGGTCTGGGACAACCGAGTATGTCCAGAATGGATGCTCTGGGAGCTGCTTTATCGGGCTGATAAGTTTATGGTTATGTCTTGCTAATTTAAAGGAACAGGGCCAAGATGGATAAATTCTTTTCTTGGTTTGGTTCTTAGTAAAACATAAAAAGTGGGAGTGGTAAGAGAGCCAGTCCTGGTTTTGGTCCAGCTCCTCTTATTTGTTTGTACAGGTTTAAGCAGGACTGTCTACTTCAAAGTTAAGAGTTGAGAACACGCGTTTCAGTCTTTTCACTTCATTCATTCACTCATTCAACATATAGATGTTGAAAACTTGCAATTTGCCAGAGAATAGCCTCAGCACATGGTTGGAAAACAAGGAGAACCCAGTTTAGTAGGAGGATTTTTAGGAAATAATTACAATAGGCAGTGATGTGGGCTGAATTGTTTTTCCCTCCAAAATAATTCATATCTTGAAGCCCTAGTTTCTAGTATCTCTGAATATGACTGTATTTGCAGATAGGGCCTTTGCTGGGGCAATTATATTAAAGCAAGGCCATGAATGTGATCCCCAATCTGGACTGATGTCCTTTTAAGAGGATGAAATTTTGCCGAAACCGGTTTGGCTCAGTGGATAGAGCGTCAGCCTGCGGACTGAAGGGTCCCAGGTTCGATTCCGGTCAGGGGCATGTACCTTGGTTGCGGGCACTAGGGGATGTGCAGGAGGCAGCTGATCGATGTTTCTCTCTCATCGATGTTTCTAACTCTCTATCTCTCTCCCTTCATCTCTGTTAAAAATCAATAAAATATATTTAAAAAAAAAAGAAGATGAAATTTTGACACACAGAGAAGCAGGAGGGACTGGAGTACACAGAGGAAAGGCCATATGAGGACACAGTCAGAAGGCTCTTCATCTGCAAACCAAAGGGAGAGATCTCAGGAGAAACAATATAGCAACATCTTGATCTTGGGCTTCTAGCCTCACAACTATGAGAAAATATATTTCAGTTGTTTAAGCCACAATCTGTGGAATTTTTTACGGCAGGCTTAGCAAACTAACATATCTAACAAATATTTTTTATTAAATTTTTATTTTTATAGATGTATATATAATAGTTTTAAAAGTCTAATAGTCCTACAAGCCTTATAAAGAAATCCAGCAGACTCTGCTCTACCCCTTTCCACATTTAACTCTTCTGTTTCTATTGGTATTTGTCTTCATATTTCTAAACAATGTGATAATGAGCTATTTCTTGATTTTTCAATGTTAGATAATATTTATTGTCTTTAGCTCTCCTATATCATCAGTCCCAAATACACACTTCCTTTTTGCTCATCTCCCCTGTATAGTTTAAAACAATTTGTATATGGATGATGGACTAGTATGGACTCTTATAGTGACTATGTCATTATTGTTCATACTTGAGCCATGTAGTGTGTACTTTCTTTTCTCACATAATTTCTTATTTTCCCTGAAATTAGTAATTGTCTTAACTTTTTATTTGTTTAGTTTTCTTTCTACCTATCACTCTTCTTTTTCTCTAATCTCTCCAGTAAAGCTGGATGATTTATCTCAAAATGAGGAAACATCAATTAATCTCTTAGTTCTGTTTTTTTTCCTCTCCATGGAGACTTCCCTCCTGGAATGTACCTTTTTTTTTTCTTTCAAGCTTCCTAGGATTACTTTCCCCACTATTCTAATAATTCTCTTTGCCTTTTTCCTGGGTTTGGTTTCTATTTCTTGGGTTCTTCTTGCTTGCTTTACTTTGTCATTTTGCTGAAGCACACCCTCTAGTGGCTTACAGAAAACGTGTACATAAGCGTTACATTTTTGAGACCTTGAGTGTCTGGAAATGTCTTTATGTAGAATGTTTAGAATCAATTGATCATTTGGTTAGGTGTAAAATTCTGGAAAGAAGTTAATTTCCCTTCTAAATGACATTACTCCATTGCTTCCAATGTTATAAGGAAATCTGGTGCTATTTTTATACCATTCTGCCAAAGTTTGCAAAATATTTTTATCCCCAGTGTTTTGAAATTTCACAATTATGTAAATAATGTAAGACTTAATTTATTCATTGTGCTGGGCACTCAGTGGCCCCTTAATCTGGAAGCTCATTCGATATCCTTGAATCAGCAGTTCTCAACCTGTGGGTCGCGACCCCTTTGGGGGTCGAACGATCTTTCACGGGGATCGCCTAAGGCCATCGGAAAACACATATATAATTACATACTGTTTTTGTGATTAATCACTATGCTTTATGTTCAATTTGTAACAATGAAATTGAGGGTCACCACAACATGAGGAACTATATTAAAGGGTCATGGCATTTAGGAACGTTGAGAACCACTGCCTTGAACTCTGGGAAATTGTCTTCTTTGATAATTCCATATGCCCATTTTCTCTATTCTCTCATTTTGGAATTCCCCTGGCTTTATCCTCTATTTTCTCCTTCCTGTTTTCCATTTCTTTTTAATTTTGAGAGATTTCTCCAACTTTTTCGATTGAAAACTTATTTCTGCTATAATTTTTTAAATTTCTGAGAGCTTCATTTTCTCTTCTGAATGCTCTCTCTCCTGCCTCCCTCTCCCTTTTTATTGGTGCAGTATGCAGATGTAGTGTTCTGAATGCAAAATCTTCTCCAATCTCTGAAGACATTAATGTTTTAATTCTTTCTTCTGTACACCACATCGTTTCTGCTTATCTTTATCAATTTGTTTATTTTGGTTTCATTGGAGACTTTCTTCAAACATCTGGTGACCTTTGGCTGTGTGTTCATATTTACTAGTAACTTCAACTGAAGCTCCTTGTGCAAAAGCAGAGCTCATTGACAGCAGACCCTATAGGATTATCAGTGGTGCATCAGTTGGGGTTTCACACAAAACAAGCGCCACACCCTTTCAGAGAAGCCAAGGAAAAAATAAAAATTGAAAGGGAAGAGACCAATAACGAATAAGTAAGCAATAGGACGAAGGAGCAGAGGACATGAGAGATGACTAAAACCCAGGGAGAGTACCAACATGGAGATAGCCACCTTTCTTCCTGTTCTTGGATTTCCTGCTGCTGATGCCTCTTGTTGGCCAGACCAAACCTGGACCAAACCTAGAATATGAAGAGAGCCCATTGATGGAGTCCAATACAGGTCAACCTCCCAGGGCACTAAGCAGGGTGCGGAAGGTGAAGGTAGATCTGAAGGCATGAAAAACATATTCAGGACAGATATATAACCAGTTTGATAGAGGATCCCAAATCTTAGTAACCCAGCACAGTACCTGGCATATATGATAGAGTATTCAGTAAATATTTGTAGAGTAGATAAATGAGGCAAGTAATGAAAGTAATGATCATATCATCAATGACTTTGAATGCCATAAAAAGAAACTTATGCAAGTTTTCAACTTAAAAATAAAATAGGAAGCTCTTTTGAAAAGAAAATTTTGTGAAGAACCTCAAAATAAAAACTATAACCAGATAAAAATAGATTTTCCCAGTTGAATCTGGGCTATAGGGTCTGGCACCCTGCTCAATTGGCCTCATTATTGTTGGGGAGCACACGAGACTTGGTTGGAAAGTTTGTAAGGAGGACATTCTGAGAAAAGGGAAGTGTGTGGAAGGCCATCTGCCCTGTTTATCAGAATTCTGACTTAGGGGAATGCTGAAGGTGGTGCCCCTAATTATTCCTTAACCTTTCCAAACAAGTCTGTGAATGTACAGTCCCCTAGTGTTTACTGGATTCCTGATGCCTAATCTTTGGGTGCCCTTGCCTTGAGGACAATGCAAACACATGTGTCCTCCCAAGATTACTTACCCTACTGATTGTATCTAAAGATAAAAATGCCAATAAAAACCTAATGAGGCAGGCAATCGAGGCTGCCTGGTTGCTATATCCGGGCCGTCCCTTAGCCTCTCTTTCACAGCAAATGTGTGTCAGAGTTATCCATTCATCTGTCACTCAGGCTCTGCTGGCCAGCCCTGGAGCCCCAGCAATGGTTACGTCAGGCCTCTCCCATTCTTTCTCTGCCCCATGGACTTTTCAAAGGTGCCTCTGATGCAGCTGTGAGAAACCTAGTTTGAAAACCACTGTTGCAAAAATGGGAATGCCTCCTGAAGTAGTTATTATAACAGTTGTACTCTGAATGGTGGTACTTCCTGAGCAGCTATTTTTTAGTGAGCATTTCTCCTGAACCTTCCTCTGTTTCTTCTTCCCCAATGCTGCAGGATCTCAGGGTGGCTCTGTGGCCAGGGCCCTTTTGGAGAGCACAAAAAAGTCTGAGCAAAAATTGCCTCACTCCACAAAATCTCTCTGGTATTTATGAAATATATGTACTTGAAGTATTTCTTTGATTGTGAAGTCAGTGTTCTATAGCACATGTTAACGTCTCAAAACCATGGAGATCTGAGGATGTCTGTGCAATGGAGCCGGTCATTTGTCTATAGATGGCATGTGAAGGGTACCCCACAAATTAAGGTAACTCCAAAGTAAAAAGGAAAGAACAAAATGTAATGAGTTTATTTTTACTTCTGGCAGAGAATTTGGGGAGAAATTAATAATGGGTACATAGAAAAAAACTAAGACAAGCAAATAAACCCACAGTGATGAACACAGGGAAAATAAAAGTTTATAGAAAAAAAATAAATGTAACCATACAATATTACTTGGTTCAACTTCAGCAATGTGGTAGGCACTACTTTTTGATCTAGCCCAACATTATGATATTGGAAATATGAAAAAAAGGGAATTGCATATATGTGTGATGGTGGTGTTGGGCTGTGTGTGTGTGTGTGTGTGTGTGTGTGTGTGTTTGTTAGCACATGTAGGCAGAGATCAGCATAAAATCCTAGTTGAGGTGGAAGAGAGAGAGAAAGAGAGAGAGAGAGCACATTAAAGATGAGGACTCATCTTTCAGAGTAAGAATTTAGTAGATGATATCTTAAACTGAAAAAAATAGAGCATTAGTAGTACAAACCTGTTATTTAGAAATACAGAAACAGCTAAAAGAGATGAAAGTGGTTACTTCTTGAGAGCAGTTATCACATGAGGACTCAGGGAACATCATTGTCATTATAAATTCAATTCCTTGTCTCTCTTCCCCCCCATCCCTTGCCCCTTGACAGTACTATTTGAAGTGATATATGTGTATAAATTGGAAAAATGTTAAGATTACATTTTTTAAGTGTAATTGATGGGATCAGTCTCTTGCAGAAATGGCATAATTCAAAAAATTAAGAGCAGGATTGAGCCATTTCAGGAATGTCTGTGAAATTAATTATACCATTTACAGCTTATCTTTTAGTGATAAACTTTGGAAGAGCCCATATTAGGAACTCTAGGTTCTAATTCTGATACTCACTTACTATGAAACACAGGAGTACAAAGTCACTTCTCTGCTCACTTTCTGCCTCTACTAAACCAGATTAATTATGTCTTCTCTATTTGCTACATGGGGTTTTGTAAGGAAAAAAAGAGAAGGAAACGGTAGAAAGAAAGAAAAAAGAGAGTGAGAGAAAGAGGAGAGAGAGAGAAAGAGAGAAGAGAGAGATGAAGATGTTTTAGAAAATTTGGAACTGAAGTAAAAAAAGAGAATGTGTGTGTGTGTGTGTGTGTATGTGTGTGTGTCTTTATTATGCCCTCAATATCCAATTGGTGTGCAGATATAATTAATTACTAGAAAACATTATTACACTGTATGAATATTGTTTTCTCAAGTATCCTTGAGGCTCATATATAAATAAATGTGACAGTTGATCCGAAGATACTGATAGCCGAGACTCTAGGCCAGTCGTGGGCAAACTATGGCCCGCGGGCCAGATCTGGCCGGGTTGAAATGAATAAAGCTAAAAAAATAAGACCATACCCTTTTATGTAGTAATGTTTACTTTGAATTTATATTAGTTCACACAAATACTCCATCCATGCTTTTGTTCCGGCCCTCCGGTCCAGTTTAAGAACCCATTGTGGCCCTCGAGTCAAAAAGTTTGCCCACCCCTGCTCTAGGCCCTAGAGGAAGGGACCAGATGTTCCTGCCCGTTCTCACCAGGCTGACTCTTAGCTTCTGATGAGGTTCAGTATTGTGTCATGGTGGAGCCTCTGCCCACCAACACTAGTGGCCTCTCAAATGGTAACTTGAATATATTTTGATGCTGAAGAGCTCCCTCTCTGTGGAGGACAGTAAGAAAAGGAAGGGGGGAAGGGAAAGCAGCATCTCCCTTCCTGTCCATATGCAAATACAGCGATCTATATACAGAATTTACTTTGTTCCTTAGGGAAAGCTGGTGGCAGATGTCACCAAGCGCCTGGGTGTGAAGCACGTGGTGTTCAGCGGCCTGGAGAATGTCAAGCGTCTGACCGGAGGGAAGTTGGTAGTTGAGCACTTTGATAGGAAGGGAGAGGTGGAGGAGTATTTCTGGTCCATTGGTGTTCCCATGACCAGCATCCACTTGGCAGCTTACTTTGAAAACTTTCTCACTTTATGGAAGCCCAAGAAAGCCTCTGATGGAGATTACTACACCGTGGGTAAGTGGAATTTGTAGTGAAAGTTGACCAGACACTTGCTGTCCTCCCTTCCTCATCCTTTGTCCCCTCCCTCCCTCTTTTCAGTGGACTTATATCATTTGAGTGCCTACTATGTGCTTACCTGTGGGTGAAGTGCTGAGAGGGATACAATATTGTTTTAAATTTTACATAGAACTGGTTCTGGGACTGGAAACACAAAGGTTTTCACTTCCAGTCTGAACAATCAGATGCTCTTTATACAAACGGTTAGCTATGCGACCTCAAGCCTTAGTTTCCTCAAGTCTAATGTAAAAATTGGACAAAATGACTTTTTCTTTTTGTTAATCTTCACTCCAGGATATTTTTCCATTGAATTTTATAGAGTGGGGAAGGGAGAAGAAGAGACAAACTAGTGACAAAGTCAACCTGGAGCACCTGCCATACAACAGGTGACTTGGGTAATAGCTCAACAAGTAACCGCCTTTCTTCCTGTGCCTTTACAGGGTTACAGAAGCCAGCTCACTGACATTTCCCAGGTCCTGAACTAGGGCATTGTAATCTCTTGGTTAGATTGGCCTGCATGAAGAGGTGATGCCTTAAACTTCTTCTGGTACCCAGTCCCATCTGGGGCTCCAAAGTCTATATAACCCCGTGTTCGGTATTCCTGAGACTCAGGTATCATTCCCCACTATAGGAATAGCTAATATTTACTAACCGCTTAGTAGGGGCCTGGCACTGCACTATTTACCTTCACTTCACAGATGAGGAAACTCACATAATATAGATTAAGTAACTTTCCAAAGCTCACTAGTAAGGCACACCAGGACATGGACCCTGGCAGTCTTACTCCAGAGCCATTCGGTATTCCTGAGACTCAGGTATCGTTCCCCACTATAGGAATAGCTAATATTTACTAACCGCTTAGTAGGGGCCTGGCACTGCACTATTTACCTTCACTTCACAGATGAGGAAACTCACGTAATATAGATTAAGTAACTTTCCAAAGCTCACTAGTAAGGCACACCAGGACATGGACCCTGGCAGTCTTACTCCAGAGCCATAATCTTTACCACTGTCCCATAGCTGCTTTGAATCTCATCTCAAGACCTTCAACTCTCAAACAAAACAAGCCTCAAAGTCAAATGAGACTTAGCAAAGAGTGCCTCAAAAAGCTTAAACTGCTTTACAAATAGAAAATACAATTAGAATTTAATCTGAGCAGGCAATGTGCCCATCAAGAAATTTCGACAGGAAGCTAATTTTGCTACAAAAGATTAAATGTGATATTTAATCTCTGACTGCTAAGCCTGAAGTCACTTTTACACTGGGTTGAAAGTCAGAGACCTTGATTCTTGTCCTAGCCTGTTGTTTCCTAGCTGTGAGGCAGCAGGCAAGTCAATAGACTTAGTTTCTTCATTAAAAAAAAAATCTTTATTATTGAAAGTATTACATATGTCCCCCTTTTTCTCCCATTGACCTCTTCTAGCCCACCCTCTCCCTCAGCCCCAGGCCTCCAACCACCCTGTTGTCTGTGTCCATGGGTTAAGCATATATGCACACAAGGTTTATGGTTGATTACCTTCCAGTCACCCACCCTTCCCCGCCTTCCTTCGGAGATTCCGCACTCTGTTCCATGCTGCTGGATCCACTCCATTCATCAGGTTATTTTGTTAATTAGGTTGCACATATGAGTGAGATCATGTCTAGGGTTCCCTTTTCTCCACATCCTCGCCAGCACTTGTCATTTGTTGATTTGTTGATGCTACCATTCTGACACGTGTGAGGTGATACCTCATCATCGTTTTAATTTACTTCTCTCTGATGATCAGTGATGTTGAGCATTTTTTTTCATATGTATCTTGGCCATCTGTATGTACACTTTGGAGAGATGTCTATTTCGGTTCTTTGCCCATTTTTAAATTGGATTGTTTTGTCTTCCTTTTGTTAAGTTGTATGAGTTCGTTATATATTTTGGATATTAACCCTTTATCATATGTATCATTGCCAAATATGTTCTCCCATACAGTGGTCTCTGTTTTCATTTTGTTGGTGGTTTCTTTTGCTGTGCAGAAGCTTTTTATGTTGATGTAGTCCCATTTGTTTATTTTCTCCTTAGTTTCCTTTGTCCTAGGAGATGGATCCGTAAACATACTGCTGTCGATCTCTCCCTTATAGTTCTCCAGAAGTATTATTATTTTATTTAGGTGCTCCTATATTGGGTGCATATATGTTTACCAGGGTTATATCCTCTTGTTGCATTGACCCCTTTAGTATTATGCAGAGACCTTTATTGTTTCTTGTGATGGCCTTCATTTTGAAGTCTATTTTGTTAGGTATGGGTATTGCTGCCCCAGCTTTTTTTTTCATTTTCATTTGCACGGAAAAATTTTTTCCATTCCTTCACTCTCATCCTGTGTGAGCCTTTTGTTCTGAGGTGGGTCTCTTGTAGACAGCATATATTTGGTTCATGTTTTCATATCCATTCAGAATTTCTTCATTTAAAAAATTAGAGTTCTGAGGCTAGATCATATCCATTTTGGGGTCCAGCCTCCGGATTCTGGGATTCTGGGGACCCATGAGAGGCTGTGTCACACTGTAGGAAGGGGCTTTTGAGTGACACATGAAGGTTTGAGCCCACTTCTGCTGCTTGCTGGCTGAGTAATTTCTGGAAGTACCTGATATTCCTATGTTTCAAGATTTTTTTGAAGATTAAACCAGCCAATATATTGGGCTCATTCATTCTTTCATCCATTCATTAAATATTTGAGGGCTTATTACTATGTTCTATTCTTTTACTGGGGAATTAGTAATAGACAGTTCAAAACAAAGTCTGCCTTCATGGAGCTTTTATTTGGGTGGAGGAGATAGATAAGAAACATAATAGATAAGTAAAGTATATATGTCATAATAGACAAATAAACATAATAGATAAGTAATAGGAGGTAAGTACTGTATAAAAATAGGGCAGGGTAAGTTATATGTGGTGTGCCAGCAGTAAGGAGGTGGCATGTGAACTTAAACAAGAGGATCAGTGGGCCTCTTTGAGAAGGTGATGTCTGAGCACCTTCTGATGGAGCTAGGTGGTAGTCTTTGTGAGTATTCAGGAAAGAACATTTTGAGAAGAGGGAACAGCTAGTGTGGCTGGAAGAGAGCATGTAAGGGAGAATAGTGGAAGGTGAGGCCAGAGTTAACAGAGGTCTGGTCTTGTAAACCATTGACAGAGAGCCATTGGAAGGTATGGACAGACATGATATGAGCTGATATTAGTTTTACAGATTGACTAAGAGACCGTGGAATGGCAAGAGTGGAAACAAGTAGACCAACTTTGCAATAATCCAAGTCAAAGATGATGGTTCAAGGTGGCTTTGACCATGGTGGTAGCAGTGAAGTTGGTGAGAAGTGGTCAGATTCTAGACATACTATGAATAGGATTAAAAAAAGAAAGGATGTGGGGTGTGAGAGAAGTTTCAAGCTGACTAAGATTTTTGACTTGAGAAACTGGAATGATAGACTTGAAATGGGGCAGTCTGTAGGAGGAGCAAGTTGTTGGGGGGCTATAGGAATTCATTTTGATGCACATTGACATGTTTATTAAACAATAAAGTAAGGATGTTGAGTAGGAAGTTGGGCAATAGAGCCTGGAATTCAGCAAAGAAATCTGGATTATAGATATAACTAATTATATTTTGCACAAGGCAGATGTTTAGTAAATGGTGGCTTTTAAAAAATCAATACCTAGGCATTATGGTACGTTCTCAAACTAAACCTTGTAACTAATTGTGCATAGATTGTGGCCATGAGGTGTTGCATTGCTTTCCTACCTTTTGTTTAGTGGTTGATTAATTCAAGTTGGTAAGACTTACTGTCTTACTGAGGATGTGATATAATTACCAATTTTTATCTCTTGTTTTTTTTTTGTTGTTTTGTTTTTACTAGCACTGCCTATGGGGGACATTCCCATGGATGGCATCTCTGTTGCTGATATCGGAGCAGTCGTCTCTAGAATTTTTGATTCTCCAGAAGAGTTCTTAGGCAAGGCTATGGGCCTCA